GGCCCCTAAAGGGATTGGCATTAAACAGTTATTTGGCCCTGGTTCACAAAGAAGCACTGGATCATCTTCCGTTGATATAGTATCTAAAAAGGAGCTCGACCAGCGATTACAGGAAGAAAATGAGAGAGTTCGAGCTTAGTTCAGTTAAGAACACAAGGTGGAGATGCAAAAGATGTGAGGAGTTCGATGCTAAGTTTTAACAGGCTATGTTGATGATGGGCACGACCAAATTCCAGATGCCCTGAGTGTCTGAACCATCATAGGTAATAATCACACATCTTCTTAAATCTTCTAAAGGTTTATTTCATCTATTTAAACTTATTTAATATGCCTTAATTAATTTCATTTTATGTTTCAAGGTTCACCTGTGATGAAAAGTAGGAAAGGAAGTAATAATTAGACGCAATAGCTGACATTGTTTGACCCTGACCCTACCCAAAACAATGGAATGACGTGTGCTCTCTATGGGGACTTTGAAGATTCAACTTTTCATGTCGCTAATGGTCAAGCATTCTCGGGCACAACAATCCACGACAAGAAAGTTTCGAAGGATCAAGTGAGGGTGACGGTGGATAAGATCGGTAGTGGTTAAGGTGATACACAAGTGCCCAAACCTACTGATGATGTTCAACTACTGGTTCAGGCTAAAGGAAATTTCATTTTGTGGCCAAACAAACTTGTTCGAAAGCCTACACCATCGAAGAAGGTGACAAGGAGTGCAGATCTTGTCCTCCAGCTTATTCCTGCTGACGTTAAGGTTATGTATGGAAGTTTGGTGCTTCTTTATTCTATGGTGAAAAATATGGAAAGCCCCCTTATATGCTGCTGGGAATTATGGGTTTAGATGTGACATACCACTTCACCATTAACAAAAAGGATCTCATTCAGTTCCTCAACTTTGAGGAGTTGGATATAGTCTTCATGCAGCTGGCTATTTTGTAAGTTACAATATCATTTTCTTGTTTCATATTATACTTATGCATGTCCTAATGTTTCTTATTTGAACAACAGGCACTTTACTCGAGTCTGTTGGCAAGGAGGCTGGAGGGCACATATGGCTTTATGTGTCTTCAAAAAGTGCAGAAAGTAGTCAATACTATGGCAGTAAAGTCGATCTACATGATAACCACAATGACTCAGTCAAAAAAAAAAAAATATTTTGTACCTTACGTGAAAGGGTAAGTATATTATTGTATATTTTCAGATACACAAGTTATATATATGATTATAATTAACATGGTTCGTATTTTGCAGTTATCATTGGACCCTAATTATTTGTACTCCTTTTAATAACAAAGTCTACTGTTTTTATTCCTTTCCAATAAAAAAAACCAGAGATGTCATTGACACGTTAGTTTATGTTTATATATTTATTACGTGTAAATTCTAATATTATTTTTTCATTGCGGATCAGGCTTTTCATAGTTTTAATGTTATGGCCAAGCAGCAAAATAGGCAAACCACCAACATGGATTCTCCCGCAAGTATGTTGTTTTGAGCTAAATATATGCTTATAGATCTTTTCAATAATCAAAGTTAATGCTTATAAATTTTTTTATATAATCAAAGTCTGATATTCAATATTATATTTTATTTTGCTAGTACTATTGTCAACTTGGGAGTGTTGAATGCGGATATTATGTCATCCACTATATGAATGACATCATTGAGACAGGGGTGACTGAGAAATTAAACAAAATAAATATAGGTTACATTGCATGTAATTTTTCAATTCTTTTCACATTTTTGATCAAGTTGACTAATGACTATGTTATTTTTGATTTACAAGCATTCCAAAATGCTGTGTCACATGACATGGAGGAAATCAACTTGATGAGTGACACTTTGTCAACTACATTGCTAGAGATTTTTGAAAATGTGAAATAGTCTTTTCACATTGTTAGGTCATTCTTCACATTTTAGTTCATTGTTTGATCATTAACTGGTTGATTATTTGTTGATATATTAGGTGATTCAATAAGAATTGGATGTTAGTATTCATATGGTCATCTTGAAATTGTTCTGCATATTCTTCTGCTCTACTAGTTGATTTGGGTTTGTAAACTGCAAGGAGGTAATTAAAAAAAATTCACGTAGTATTTTTTTTAAAAAAATTGAGCTTTTAATGGTGGTTATTTGTATAACCGCTATTAAAAACATTTATCACGGTGATTATTTTAATAACCGCAATGAAAAAAATGTCTTTCCATGACAGTTGTCTAGAAAACCGCCGTGGAAAGTCAATATTTCACGGTGGTTTACAACCGTCATATTTTATTCTCCTTTCAACTTTAACAGTATCCACTTCGCCTCCAAAACTGCCGGGGAAAACCTTAATTCCGTTAACAGCTTTTTTTTGGGCTGTGCCAGTGCATTACTCTATAGGATTTCATAGACAAAGGTACCAATATTCTAATTCAGGTCCTTCTAATAATTAATAAAATTTTCAAACAAAGACTTGACTGTGATGGTGTATAATCTTTACTTATAAAAATAATAAAGGTGAGAAATAATATTTAGAAATAAGCCACGAGTTAAACTATCTGGGAAAACTGTTGTTCAAACAATATGTTATAAACACGATATATTATGATTTATTTAATATATGATGATGAATATAGCGTGTTAATGTATTAATTTATTTTTAAAACGAACAGACATTGGATATAAAGATAGTTTCATTGACGTAAAATTGAGAGAACATGAGTTGGATAGAAAACGCTATAAAATATATTTAAACCTAAATTATATCAATATAATTTACTCTTTAATTTTAGGCAATACAGCTGTCAAAAAGTATTATAAAAAGTAAATAACAAATTCTAATGCAGAAAATGAGAAAAAGTACATGTTGCTCAGTATAAAAATGCCTTAATATTAAAAAAAAAAAACGGAAGAATTGACTAGTTTTGGCTGGAGAAGATTTGCTCATTGACTTGAGAACGCAGTCAGTTTTAAGGCTATTTTCAAGAAATGGATTTAAGAAATTGTGGATTATATTTAAATAATTTTACAAAGTTATACTCCTCCGGTCCTTAATATAAGACAAATTTAACTAATTTGATTAGATTGAGAAAGTTAGATGCGTTAGTTAAGTATAATAAATTATATGACATGTTTTTCCTAAAATACCTTAATCATCTTCATTATATCCTCATTCTTTCTCATATTTGATTATAGTTGAGGAAGTATCAATAGGGGTGATTTGAAAAAATTGATAGATATAAAAAATAGGTCTTATATTTAGGATTAAAATTAACTCCACAATTAGGCGGCCGCAATTAACTAGAAATTTTGGCCACAAAAGATTAATTATGACCTCGAAATGACAGTGTATTATTGATGTTGAAGATGGCGATATTATTCTTTTAGGAAATTCACACATAGGCACGCATATACGTGTATATATATTGTGCCAAAGAAGAAAGTAACATGAAGTTAAAATGTATAACAAGAGACACATGACAATAATTGTACAACCAATGAGTAATGAATATTAAAATAAACTTCCAAATTGAATAGGTCACAGAAAGACTTGATCGTTGACTTGAAATTGATGAAAACAATTTAAAGGCGATTTCTAGGAAATGGGTATTATTTTGTATCGTTTTTCCTTTAATATAAGTAAGTTAAACACAAAAGATGGCAAACATTTGTTAATATGAAATAATTATTTTAAAAATGTTGGGATTACGAATTCCATTTATGTATGAAGAGTCATTTCTTGAACATTTAGAGTGAGAAATGGACACTTTCTTTAAATGTTTTTAACTGTTTTCTCATAGGGTTCAGCTCGTGAGAAATTTTCCTTGGGGATGATTAGAGAAAACTAAATTGAGCTACTTGCATAAGTAGAAAAGATGGCCAGGTAACATTTAAATAATATAAAAGAAAAAATTGAGCGCATTACTCAAATATGCTATACTTAATTAACTTAATTTTATCACTTTTAATTGATCTAATTCTAACATTTTTTTTCCTCAAGTGATGCAATAAATTCAATAATTCAAGATTTGGACCATTTCCCTCGGTTTTTCTTTTTCTTCCCAGAAGTAACTCTATGAATTAACTAATTAAAAAGATAGCAAAAAAGCCAGGAGTGGAGTTAGCTCTTTATTTCAAGTACAACACCAGCACATAAATTTAAGAATTACATAATTATCACACTCAAATGTACATAAAATTCATGAGAAACCTAAACCTCGACTTCCCATGAAATAATCTAGGAAGAAAGACATTATTCCTCAAAAGAGAAATGATAATCAAAAGCTGAAAAAACACACGTGACAAAGAAAGATGACAGTAATTTATTTAAGAATGGATTATTAGGAGACTGTTATGATCTTCCACCGAGCAAAAGGACTATATATTATTATTATACCTTATACGTATCATTCATATATTTCTTTTATTTCCTACTTCTTACAGCCACGCCCATAGGGATTGAAAGGAGCTTTGGGAATTGGCTTTGCTCGTGGTGGAAGGCAAGCAGCATAACGAGAACCAGGAGGACATTTTACTGCAGGCTTATTCTTCTCCGGCGTTGACGAGGTTATTGATGTCGTTTCTGCATCGTCATCATATATAATATTTACATAACATCAATATAATATGCTCATCTGATTCTGTTTATATAACTCATGTGATTAAATTTTTAATATGAATGTGCTGTTTTATTCTTTATTTATTATTACGTATAAATTATTATTTTCTTAAAAGGTGTATATATTATGTAAAGATAAAGGAAAAAAAAAGCTATTAAATTTTAAAGCAGAGTTAATAAAGTTTACGGAAAACATATGTTGGAAATAAATGATTTATAAATTGGGCCATGGGAGTACCACTTTAATATATTCAGAAATCACAACGAAAAATAATTAATTAGCGTAATAGTAATTTCATAACTGGGGGAAGATGCTAGTCACAGTGAATAAGATTGTAAGATGATGATGATAAAGCAGTTAAGCAGCAGAACAAACGAAGTTGAAGTTGTTACCTTTTAGTAGACGTGCATGAGTGGAAGAGGGAAGGGAGAGAAATATGGTAGAAACCCAAATGAGAAAAGCAATTAGAATAGTGTTCTTCATATTTTGCAGCAATATAAGACTCTTGTGATTTGGCTTGTGTGTATACTACACTTACTCTTCCCCTCTATTTATAGTCTCTAGGAGAGAGGAGCACAATTGAAATAAAGGGCTTTCAATTGGTGCAAGTGAGTTTGACTTCGTCGTAAAAGTTCTTCAGTATTGGTTTCTCCCAGTTTCCACCCACCTGAATATTTTGCTTCCAATAATACTAGCTAAGTAGTGCTTATCTAATTAATTTCTTCTTTCATTTAAATCCAATTTGTTTGATATTCTACTCCCTCTTCTTAATATAAGACTCATTTAATTAATTTAAAAAATTAAAAAATAAATAAATTACTTAATTATAACGTATGTTATATAATATTTTTAAAATACCTATACATATCATTAGATTATATAGTGATTTATAAGTTAAGTAAATCGGTTTAAAAATAATAAATGCAAATATTTCAAAGTATTTTATTTAGTTTTTTAATGTTTCTAAATTAATTAAATGAGTTTTATATTAAGAATAAGAAATAGTATATTAAAAAAAATTTTAAATTGACTTGGTCGTACCTTATCCCTTCTAGCTCAATGACGCTGACGTGTCTCTGTTTTGACGGTGACTGAAGAATGTTGCTTTAAAAAAAAAAAATTTCTAGTGATTAACGAGTTTCCATGGGCCATGTATCCCTCGTTTAATTTGTTACTCGTTTGGTACTATTTATAAATTATTTTTAATATATTTTATATAAATCAAAAAAAATTTTAAATTTTATTAACTCTCATTTAAAATTTAACAAATTTTTAATTTTAACCCTATTTAATATATATTATACATCATGTAAATAAAGTTAACATACTAATAAATAGAGGATAAAATTACACATTCATACAAAAAATTTCTCTTTTCTTCTCTCTCCCCCGTATAAAAAAGACAAGAGGAATACTTCTTAAAATGCTTTTGCTTTTACCATTTCTCTGCCAACTGCCGAAATAAATGATAGAATAAAAGAAGCTTTATTTATTGACTATATGTAGACTGACTTATACTTCCTCTAATATAAATATAGATAAGCTAAATGTAATATCCTAATTCATTTTTTTTTCACAAATTTATAATTATTTTTTCAAATAATCCTAATGATTGCATATAGTACCAGTGTCAACCCTTAGAGATTACAATTGATGATATTATTTTTTTTTCCAAAAAAAAGTAGAGAGATGTTATAAACTGACTGGGTTGTTGGAAGAGTAGCTCATTGACTGGGAAATTATGTTGTTTCCAGGACATTGAGAGTCATTTTGTTTACAAAGGATGAAAGAGAAGGATAACATGATTCATCTTTCTTTTTTCCTTTCGCCAACTACTCCCTCCCTCAATTTATATAAACAACAACTACTATCTCCTCATCTTTAAATATAAACAATATTTATAAGTTATCTTAAATTTTTGTACTTATGATATTTATTATTTCATTTTTCAAACCATCATCTCTCTATCTATATTCTCTCTTCTTCATAATTCTCTTTATTGTAATAATTTTTTTATTCTCTTTCTTATACTCTCTTCCCCCTAAATAAGGGTATTTTAAAAAAGAAATTTTCAATTTCTTCTTATTTCTTATCTTTAACTAATTTTTTGATCTCGTGATGGAATCTAAGGTTGTTTATAGAAAAGGATAGAGGGAGTATAACCGAATTCATCTTGATTTTATAAAATTCTGCCTAGGAAGATAAATGTGCTGCTTACTCCTGTTGGTTAATCGAATAATTAAGGACTTTATCTTAATTGATTTCAGAAAGGTTAGATAACACGCCAACATGGATAGACCAAAGAAATAGATTTGAAAAGTTTAAAAAAAAAAGGGGGGGGGTTAATACAATTTTAGTAAAAAGAAGATGTAAGATACAACAATAAGAAAAATTAATCAAAAATTTTGAATAAAGAGAAAATGAAAAATAAAAAGAGTAAAAATTGCATATAAAAATAATCTTATTAACGAAAAAATCAAGTGAAGTGGAGTTGAATTAAAGGCTTTCAATCAAATATATGTAAATCTAAAAGAGTATTAATATAATTTACTCTTAATTTTCCTTATATATGTGTGTGTGTGAAGAGAATTACAATGAAGTCTCAAGGAAGAAAAGTAATTACTAAAAAGTCTCAATAACAATCTAAGCAGTCTGTAATGACAAGTTTAGGATAGGAAATAACAATTTCTAGCATTTATTTTGTAATTATTTTTCTTTTCTGAGATCTCATTATAATTCTCTTTATATACACACACTTTTTTAGTGGTGAACAAGGCTTGAAGTTTAATTGAAATTTGAAAAAAAAAACTTGAAGTGGAAACTGTTAGCGTGATTTATTTTTGGGTAAAAGTGTAAATTTACCCATAATTTTTTTTTTATGTGCATCCAATACCTCAATCTTTTTAGTGGTACAATTTTGCCCATAATTTTTTTTTCTTATTATGTAAGTTTACTCATGATCTTATTTTTTGGATGCAATTTTAGTATTTTACCCCCTATTACGTTAAAAAAAATCATAGGCAAAATTATATCATTAGAAAGATGAGGCTACTGGGTACACATGAAAAATAAGGTCATCGTAAATTTGCACCTTTACCCTTTATTTTTTGAGCTTTTGCCATCAAAATGATACAAATACTAATTTCTGGGAAATTTATTTGCTGGGCTCTATAAAACAAAGAAATTTATTTTTATTAAATATTAGTATTGATGACATGGATGGCAATGATGGTATGATTTAACGTGCGAATCTCTTGCACATTTCAGCGGTTCACAACCAATAGTCTTAATTTGAACGAATCAAAGTTACTCATCTAGATAATAAGAATTTGGCTTATAAAAGTTCTGATTCAAGTCTCACTATCAGATTAGAGGATAGTTGGTGTCTCCTAGATCAACCACCACCTCAAATTCAAGAGGTGGAGCTTGGTGAAGGGGACTAAAGACTTGTTGTTGCTTTTTCTTTTTCCCCCTCCAGATTGAGCAATATGATACCCAGTATTTATTCAAAAAAAATCTCACTATTAATGTAAATAATACCGAATTTGTTAGAAGGGCGATCTACAGATATTTCTGCGGGGAGTTTTTAAGTTCACGTGACCGAACTCGTGTCAACATTTTTTTTTATAAAAACATTGTGTTAATTTTATTAATTAGAAAGACCTAATGTATGCTTTTATACACACAAAAATATTAATACTTTGTAAGATTTCATATACAGAAAATACAAGCACTCAGATTAAGGCCCTTCCATTCAACAAGATTTTCAAATAGAACTTTTCACCCATTTCCCAAAAAAGGGAAAAATTATGAATATGATGACAAATAATCTTTACTTACAAAAATAATAAAAATTAAGAAATTATATTTAGTAATAAACTACAAATGATTATGGAAAAATATGTTATAAAACGAAAACACATGATATACAAAGATAATTTTATGGAAAATTTCACACAAAAACCTAAAAAATTATTAAATTTCAAATTGGGATTGTTTCCTAGTTCCCTTAACTTGTAAACAGTACTACTTTTTTGCAGGAATTTTTTATTTGAGATTTAATAATTTTTATGATCTTTGAGTGAGATTCTTTCTAGTTTTATAGATAGAAAACGCTACCAAATATATTTAAACCTAAAAGATATCAATATAATTCACCCTTTAATTTTCATCAAATAATACAAAAATTGCTTTATATTAAAAAAAGCGGAGAATTGACTTGTTCGCACAAAGACTTCTCCAGTTTGGGTCTAGAGACCATTTGCTCATTGACTTGATAATGTAAACATTTTTAGGCTGTTTTCAAGAATGGATTTAGGAAACTATGGATTATACACAAGACAATTATTTAAATAATTTCACAAAATTATATTATATAAATTTTGCCGCCGATTAGGACCTAGAAATTACATGACAATGTATTAAGTTAAAGATGGTGACATGTTGCCAAAGAAGAAATAACATGAATTTAAAATATAAGATAATTGTACGATTAATAAGTAATGTAGAGTAAAACCAAATTCCAAATTGATTAGGTCACACAAAAAGACTTGATCGTTGCCTTGAAAATGAAAAAAAAAAAAAAAATAGAGGCGATTTCAGGGAAATGGATATTATTTTGCATCTTTTTTCCTTTAATAAATGACTTCAGTCAGTTTATTTGTAAACCCATTTCGTAAAGCTGGCCTTATAATTTTTTATTTCTTGTGCAGAGTGTAAAAGAAAAAGAATCTCCGAGCAAAAGCAACTTAAACACACAATATGGTAAGCTTTTTTGTATGAAATAATTATTTTAAAATATTGGGATTACAAATCTTATATATGAAGAATCATTTCTTGAACATTTAGAGTGAGGAATGACCACTTTCTTTAGATTTATTAATTTTTTTCCTCGCTTGCGAGAAATTTTTCATGTAGTTGATTATATTTCATTCTATTCTAATTCCATCATAGAAAAGCAAATTGAGCTATATTTGCATAAGTAAAAAATGACCGTAACATAAAGTTAAAAATTGTATGCATTAGTCCAATATGCTATACTTAATTAACTTAATTTTATCATTTTTAATTGACATAATTCTAACATTTTTTCATAAGTGGTGCAAGAAATCCAATTGAAACATATTTATGGCTGATATTGGTGACAGATAGTAAATAACCGTTGCATGTCCCTCATAGTTTTTTAAACAAATTTGTAATGAAAAACACGTGAAATTTCATCATTAAAAAAATTTGTGACTGGACTTATCTGCACTAAGTTGGTAGCAAATGCCCAAATTCGGCCGAGGTTCATCTCAAATTCTCTCGTAAATCCGTTTTAAATTTTCTGTGGTTTTTTTCATCCCGTAGTGTGAGATAAAGACAACAACAATTCTCGTTTAGTGCTCATTACTGTAATACAATCTAGATAGTTCAAAATTTGACATAAATGGTTTAGATTATATGCAATTTTTTAATAATAAATTTACTTTTTT